AATCTGATAGCTATACAACCTGGGGAGCCATCGGTGAAGGAAACATCGTGCCAAGGGGAACTTTTTTTTGTTTTTTTTGTTTTTTTTGTTTCTTTTTTGTTTCTTCTTTTTCTCTCCTTGCACATCGAAGCAATTCCCTTGTTTTCTCCCCTTCGCTATTTCTTCCCCAGTGCGACGTTGCGTATTCTCCTGGTAGCAGCAACGCACACGGGAATACAAACAGCGGAATGATGACGACTTCTCTCCCTGCATTTGTAACTGAGTGTAAAAGTGAGAGGAAACCAAGCCTATGTTTAATTTTGGCGCCACATGCGCATGTCAAAGTGCGCATGCAAAAAAGTAGGTGCCACCTGTGCAGTACACCAGTGTCAGGAAAGGCAACAGGTTTTTCTTCATCCCCCGAGAAATTACACCACGTATGGGGTCATCCTCCTCATGATTTTTTTTTTATCCCCTCTTAAAATCTCGTGATTGTTTCTGAGTGACGCTCCCTGGGTTCATCTCTACACGTGTGTACCTCACAGGGAGGTGTACGCATATATCAACATCGCCGTCGCCGCAACCGTCATCACGACTATCTGCATTATTTACCCTTTGCCATTATTTGATATCTGCCATTTGTTGTGAGTTCTTTTTCCCCATTTGGCATCACGTCACACCAAGGAAAGAGAAGTTGGGGAGAGGGAAAAGAACCCTACCAGTGCAATTTTCCCGGGCTGCGTTCCGCATACATAGAGTCATCACAACCAAGAGGAAATAAAAAAAAAAAAAAAAACAGTTTGGCGGAAAGAGGGGAGAGGACCTTGCAACAGAGACCCATTGATACTCATACGTAAAGGGGCAGATTAAGGCGCCATTTTTTAAGGGGGGTGCCCTATCTGCTCGGAGCTGGCCACTTGGTTTGAGTATCGCTGCTTGGGTGTCGCTGTTTGGGTGTCGCTGCTTGAGTAACGCTGTTTCAGTACCTCCTTTCAAGTACTCCCATCTCAGTAGCTCCATTTGAGTATCCTCGTTTGTGTGACGGGGGGGCTCATTGGTGAGGCCGTGCCGCGCGAGGGGTTCCCACACCTGGTAAGGAAGTTGTTACACCTCTGGGAGCGGACACACGTAGGTATATATAAGGAGGTACATATCGGTAGGGACCCCTACTGGCACCTTCTGTCAGTCCTTCGAAGCGCAAAAAAGGGAGAAGTAAAAAAAAAAAGGAGATGCCAAACAAGTCGAGCTCCGAGAGGAACGCGCCCCTGGGGGGAGTACACTCAGAGGGGGTACACTCGGAAAGAGTACACTCTGAAGGAATACCCTCAGGAATACCCCGCAAAATATACACACCTCAGGCAGAATTGCAGATAAGTCACTGGGACGGGGACTCAGAAGATGGTTCGACAAAGCGCGCAAGAAGCAACCGCTTAGACGCGATGGAGATGTTAAAAACGAATGAGGTAACTCTCTTCGAGTCGCTAAACGATTCGACGTGTAAGTGGTTGAAGAATCAACACATACTGCGGGACGAGGGAGGAGTGGCAACAAGTGGAAGAGAGAAGCATGACTCGATTGGAGCGGAGCAGGACGCAATTGTGAAGCCAGATGGAAGCAACGATGTAGATAATCCCATTTTGAATTTATACAAGAAAAAGTTCAAAGCGGGTGAGGTACCCACCGGGGTGACTTCACTACAAATGGTGGAGAAGGACCCCCAGGCGGAAGACACACATGTGATTAGCAAAAGGGATGATTTACAGAAGGGTACTTTTGGGGGTGTAGAACGAGATGAATCAATGAACGAACTTCGTTCGTGGGGGGACTATCACTTTTTTAATCGAGGGGTGGCACCCCAGGGACATATCGAGACGGCCTTTTGTTTGGGGCAAGGCGACACTAATTGCTTTGCGCGTACGATAGGTGAGGGAGGGCTCTCTGGTGTGGAGGACCTGTCTGGTGGCGAGGGCCCCCCTGGTGGAGCCCCTCCCAGGGGGCTTCCAAACGGATGTGAAGACGCCACGCTTAACCACCTGCACAAAAGGGAGTGCTACTTTGAAACAACGGAGAGGTCCTCTCCTGATGCGTATGACATAGACAGACGCAGCTACCATTACATCGGTGGAGGTTCCCTCCATGCGAAGAGTCCTTTGCTGAAGGAACGAATCAACTACTACCGCGTGAAGATCGATGGGGAGGAGGAAGACGAGATGGGGACAGTCCCAGAAGGCGGATTCTTCCTCCCCCCCTTAGCAGACAAGTCTGCTAAATGTAGCACTCGTGGCAGTCATGGCAGTGGTGAGGCATTCCAAGGTGACTGCTCCGAGGAAGGAAGATTAAAGCCGTTCACATTGAACCACCTGAGTAGTTACGAAAAGAATCGGATGGTTTATGGAGAGACGGAGGGAGCCCAGATGAGGTTGAATTTCAATCGGGTGCCCGCTCAACCGATCGCACGCCCCACGGGGGGGGAGCATCATGAGCAGCAAGCACAGCAGCATCCTAATCAGCTGTCGCATCAGCAGCAGCCGCCTCCCCAGCCGGAGGACCCCATTTTGATGAACACAGTGAATCACCTCCACAACAAGATTCAGAACTCCTGTTATGAATACTCATCAGTGGGAGGTAGCAACAAGGGAGAATCAGTTTTCTTATCATCTGGGGATTCACAAATGGAAAAGACAAACGGAGCTTCCCCAAACGACACACTCCACTTCCAACCCTTGGAGGGCCTCCATATGAACGATACGAACGTGTCGAGAAAGAAACAAGAAAAGGTGAAGATGCCTTTAAAGGGAGACCTAAATGGGGGGGATCACGTTGGGGAACTGCTACACCTTAGGACAAGGGGCTTTCAAAATGAACAACTAAATCCTCACTGTAGTGGAAACCAATTGAGCTCTCACCTTGCCCATGGAAGGGGGGAGGAGGTCTCCACAACAAAGCAGACATTCTGTAGGCTTCAAACCGATACAGGGAGAAACGACTACCCCTGTGGAGATAGCAAACGTGTTAGCCAGAATGCAGATGAGGAAAAGCTGAACCTGCAGATATGTGACCTCTTAGGATGCACCTCACGGCTTTCTGCTTTTTACCGGAAAGATGAGCAAACAAGAGGGGAAAAGAAAACCAGCGGAGAGAACGCACAGGGAATGATGGACCCGCTTTCCCTCATCAGAGGAACAAAGCACGCAGGCAGAGTACCCCCCGCCGATACGTACAAGTTGGATGACTTCCTAATTCTGGACCCCCCCTATTTCATCGGAACTGAATGGGTAACCCAAGCCATCCCCACGGAGAAGCACCCCTCAAAGGTCATCCGCTGTGAAGATCTGTACTGGGGAGAGAGCACTTTGGGGAGGAACACACAGAAGGTGGAGCCACACAAGGTGCAGGCACGGAAGATGCAGACACACAATGTGGAGGCACACACTGGCAAGACACACACTGGGAAGACACACGGAACATATCAGCATCATCTCATAAGGGTCGAAAATATGTTCCAGGAGGATACTTCTGACGTGGTTAGAAGTAGCGACGGGGAGGGGACTCCTCAGCTGATGCTGTGTGGTGATAAAGGAGGGGACACACACGAGAAGGGGGAACTCATCGGGGAGAAACTCAATCAGGAGATGTCCATCCGGAGAGAGCCAAATGTAATGATCCCTCCCTTTTCCGCTAACCATGCGCTGAAGATACAAACCTTTGGAGATGGTATGCTCTACAACCCCAACGAGGAAGCAACAGTTGCGAAGCGAAGCACCTTCCCTTCAATCGTCACTCCAGTGGTTCCGTGTCGAGAAGGCCCCTTCCGCAGAGTCGTTAGTAGCAGAACAGATCAGTCCCCATTCGAATGTCCTGACCTCTCCATCGATCAGAAAATAACTAGTACTCATATGGGTAGGGACATATCAGGAGGTAACAGAATGGAGAAGGTGCCCCAAGTGCAAATTGGCCGCTGCGCTGAGGAGGAAGAAAGGGGGGCGGTTAACGATCCTTTTTTATACACTAGTAGGGGGGAGAATGCCTGTGCCTTCCAGCGGAAGAGGGACATTTTTGCAGAAAACAGAACTGAAGTGGACAAGAAGGGGTTGACCTGCACACAGAGGTTATTCGCTAGCCCGTATCGTCATAAAGAGAAGGGGACGATGGAGAATCCGACACGCGGAAGTGGTCCCACTGCAGGTGATGGCTCAAATGGGAGCAGTGGTGAAAGGACCCATCGTGGAGGTACTGCGCCAAACTCCCCCGGGGGGAAACCATGGGGGGATACCTCCCTGGTTCTTTCCCTCCCTATTACGAAGCCAGAAAAAGGTCTCTCACCAGGTAGACAGACACACACGACCTGTGGCAAGCTTCACACGGAGAAAACCATTCCAAGAGTGACCTATAGTAGGGGAAGTACAAACGTTGCAGAAGGAAGAAGTGCACTGAAGGATAGCAACGTCAATTTGTTGCAATATTTTAAGTTAAACTTCGAGAGGGCGCGGTTTGCCAGCGTTGGGAGTGCTCGCGTTGGAAGTGCTCGTCATGGGGGTGCCCGCCCTCCGATACGTGGCGGCAGTGGAATGCCCTCAATTGGTAGGAGCATCCATCGGAGGACTCCCCCCCAGAGTGGCTTCGCCCTGAGGTCAACCGATGCGTCCGCTGCGGCTGCTGCGGAGAAGAGCCACCTCTTCGAGTCCGTCGATGCGTTTTTTTATAACTTTAAAAATAATGGCGGCTCCTCCGGGGGGAAGTCTCGCCAGGTGGAAGGGCGACATGTGGGAGCACACACTGGTAGAGTGGATGCCGGTCCTGACTGCGACGTGGATGCCTCTCCCGGCTGCGAATTGAATAGTCCCGTGCGTGGCAACTGGAGTGGAGTCCCTCAGCTGGTCACCCCCAGTGGTAGCGTGACGACGACAACTACTACCACCACAACGACGACCACGACGACCACAACTACGATGGGCGCCGTGGTGAGGGGGGCGAACGGGGGAAGCAGCGAAAAGGACGAAAAGGGCAAAAAGAGCGAAAACGTAGCAAACACCGCAAATGTGTCGAAGACCGCAAATGTGTCGAACACCGTCACTGTAACCACCACCAACTGCACGCAGAGTAGGGCTCCGGTGAGGGAGGACGACCATACGTGTGTGCAGCGAAGAGAATGGAAAAAAGCCGATCAGCATTCCCAATCGGATTTCCCCGGTGTGGAAGAGGAAAAAGGAGAAGAAGAAGCGGAAGAAAAAAAGGAAGATGAAAAAGGAGAAGAGGAAAAAGAAGAATATGGAAATGAAAACGAAAAAGACGAGGACGAAAAAGACGAGGAAGAAAGAGAGAACAAAAACCAGGAGCATGCTCAGAGGAAGGAAAAAATCATTCTCACTATTCAATGGAACATAAAGAAGATTTCTTTACTCTGCTCAAGCGACAACTACTTCGTTGTATCTCCTGAATACAAAACGGAGACGTTGATAAATGAGTTTTTTATCCTCCTGAACATAAACAATGACATGCACATTTTGCCGGAGAATACCTTTGGTCTTCTCTTCTCCTACACGGGATTCTGTGACATCCTCTTTTCAGTTACCTGTGGAATGTACCAGAAGAAGTTCTGCTCTTATGACTTCTCCACGCTTCCTTGGTTCGGATTTACCAAATGGGGCATTTTAAAAAATTGCATGCAGAATGATACCATATCCATCACGGTAGACATTCATGACATTCGAAGGAAGGACTCTCTCAGGGAGGTGTTCCTCAGCAATGTAATATCTTCTATGAGGAGTGACAATGGGAGTTTTGACTTCAAGGAGGGCACCTCTACGTCGTCGGCGCAGGGGATGCAGGAAAACGCCTCTTCTTCCATGATTGCCATGGCATCGGCCACAACGGCTGCTAGCCCCTCTCCGTTCGATGCGGGGCCACACAGGCGAAGCCACAAATGCTTCTTCCCTCAAAGTGCACTCACCACAAGCGACTCCTGCGACAGGTTTGTCCCCCCCGGTGTTAAGAGCATATACACAGGCAGCATGCACATGGGAACTACGCGCCCAAGTGCAATCCAATGGGAAAACAAGCAAACCAAAGGAAGCAAACAAGGCAAAGACGCCAAACAATTCAGAGACACCAATCAAAGCACCGTGACCAGATGAAACGGAAAAATCACAAGTCAGCAACCCCTCAGAAGCAACAGGGAGACCAATCCAACGGACAGGAATAACCTCTACAAAATGATGAAAAAAAATGGGTACACACATAAGACCATTGAAGTGTGTTCCCCCCTTGGAGCGTGATCATGGAGGCAGCTTCGTTCGGCCATCCCAGGGGATTCAGGAAGGGACCCTCTCCAAAGGCACCGCGGGGACCACTGTCCAGAGAGGCGCCAAATGCGATGAAAATGCATGTGCCATTGGATGTGCCAATCAACCCATCGTGCAGCTGGAGTGTCCACCAAAAATGAAGACGGACGAGGTCCTTTTCGGAGGGGACCCATCCCGACGGGGGGCAACAAAGGTTAAGATGCCACACGGCAGGGTACCATGTGGTGAGATACGCCATGATGCACTACCATCTGATGAGATAGGCCATCTCGCGCTACCAAATGAGCTACCCAGTAGGAAGGGAAAATCCCTCGGGGGAGGGGCCACTTTGGAACACCGATTATTCGAAGAGGGGGGAATATAGGCTCTACATACGAGTGGCTTCCTCGCAGGATGGAAACGTGGCAAGGGGAAGAGGATTTCCTCCAAAGCTGTCATCACATGATACCCCCCCCACCGCTCCTCTATTAAAGTCAAATTGCTCATTAGAGGGTGACCAATGATGGTCAGGGCAGTTGCTCCCTTTTCTTTTACTCATGCAGAAGTTGTGGCGTGCCCCCTTCCTATTGATCATCCCCCGATGGGTGCACGCACAAGGGGCACTCCTTACACAGAAATGACTGGGCTGCGGAAGTTTCGTCACTGCCCTGTAGCTGCTCCGTAGCTGCTCCGTTGCTGCCCCACCGTTTTGTCACTTACCCCCCCTTACCAACTCGTACCTCCCTTCCCCTTCGACCTCTGCTCCCAACTGATAACCCCTTTTTTATGTGTATTGAATAAATGCACATGCCTGTACATGTGTATTTTTGGAAGGGGAAGCGGCGGAGTGGAAGACGCTGCGTCTCTTCTCTGATGCCCCAACTCGTATTGCTTCCTTCGAATGGAAGGAGACTCTCCCCAGAAAAGGGGTGACCCCCCTGACGAAAATCTTCTAACCGATTGTGGATGCTCACTTTGGCTAAAATGAAATACAACGCTGCTGTTACTATTGTTAAAAAAAAAAAAAAAAGGGAAAGTCTAAAAATAATAGAAGCAATAAAATAGAGTGTAATGCATGATGCTTAGTGTGATCGATGCTCTGTGCTTCCGCGTGGAGAAGGTGGATCTTTGTGTGCGAAGAGGAGGGGACAAACATCAGATACGACCACGCTTGCCTCAACCGGGGCGGCCGTCGAAGAGGCGCAGGTGCCCCGTGTTCACGCGGACGAGTTCGTTCTTGCCCCGAAGGAGTAGCAGGGAGCCGTCGTGGAGCAGCCCTTGGAGGTGCCCATCAATCAACTCGTGATCTGTATCGACAACAACGTTCTTGTCTTTGTACAAAAGCCTTGGTGTTATGTAATCGAGGAAGGAAGAAAATCCCTCCTCTTTCAGTTCAGTCAATACTGCCCTAAAATTTGAGATCAAATTTTCCGTCACGTCCTCTAATGATGGGATTAAAGACAAATTGTTAAAATCTCGCTCTAGTTCCTTCTGCACTGAAGTGTAGTTATTCCCTAAGAGGTTCTCCTTATCTGTTAGGGTTATGTTAATTCCTATACCAACCATCACACATACATAACGGTTTAGCAAGGAGGGAAACTCATCGAGGTAGTACAAATTAACAAGGCAACCGGCTATTTTTTTCTCATTTACGAGGACATCATTAATCCATTTGATCTGTGTTACCAAATGGAAGTGCTCCAATGTTTTGCTCACTGCCACAGTGGAAGTTTGTGCTAGGTATTTCACCTTTTCTGAGTCTTCCCTTTTCCACAGAAGAACAAAGGTAGTAAAAATATTTCCCCTTTCCGACAGCCATATTCTGTCTTGCTTCTTCTTTGTGTCTCTGGTCCCGATTCCATTTGTCTGTTCGTTGCAAGTCACCACCACTATACTTTTATCGTCTTGTAGAGTCCCATTTTGTAGCAGACGTGCCATGTTCCGTTTGCAGTACAGTTGGGTGGAGTCCAGCACGTCGAAGTGCAGGCGCAGCGCACCCAGCTCAGGGTAGCACCTTTCGAAAGCGGCGGGGGGGTCCATTTGGTGGGGGTGCTCCTTCCACGGAGGGAATAAATGGGAGTGCTCCTTCCCACGGTTGCTTCCCCCTATGTGTAGGTATCTTTCGCTATAAATTTCCAAACGGGTGATCTTCTCCTTTTTTTTTCTTTTATTTTCTCTTTGTTAAAAATATTACGTTCGGCTCGCATACATGTGTGGAAAATCTCGCTGTGAGAAAAGTGCCTTCCGGAAAATTACCCTCCGGAAAATTACCCTCCGGAAAATTAACCTCCGGAAAATTACCCTCCGGAAAATTACCCTCCGGAAAATTACCATACGGAAAATATCCCCTCCTTGTGCCACTGCGCATGCTTGGCCGCCACGGCTCTACATGCTTGCATTTTTACGTGCACATTTTTGTGTACACTTTTGTGAGCTTCTTTGGTTTCGTTTTATCTGTATTTCTGGTGTAGACTGCTTTCCCTGCATGCAGGCAAACCTTCTTGTTTTTTTTTTTCTATGTGGTTGCACGCCGTTGTTTTCCCCGCGCGGGGGGAAAACCACATCCGGGGCAGAATTATTTATTTTGCCACATTTCTGCTTCGTTATTTTGCCACATCTCTGCATCGTTATTTTGCTACTTTGCTGTTTTATTTTATTTTTGTTTCCCTTATATAAGGTAGGACTATCCAAAAGTGGACCAACGCGGCACAAACGAGCGCATCTTAACTCCGCACGCAATGTGGTTCCCCAATTGGGGGAAAAAAGGGGAGGGGACATGCCCATGGGCGTTGGGGATGCCACTAACGTTGTGGACAACTCGCCGCGTCCCGTTTGGGCTACTCAACTGAGTGATGTGGAAAAGAGTCCTAGTCATTTTTGGAGAATTATTTTTTGCCCTTTTTTACCTGACCGGCAAGGTGATTTTCCCCCCGTTGGAAATGAACACTTGGCACAAATGTAGGGAGCGGCGTGGAGCCACATGGGAAAATACCCAGTCCAGCAGCGTCTCTATAAGGAGAGGAACCACATGGGAAGACCCATTGCAGCAACGTCTCTATAAAGAGAGGAACCACATCTGCACAGAGCGTGGAGACAACCACATGATTACTCTCCCACCTTCCCGCGATTAACCTACTTGTAGATTTCACATGGACGTATTTTTTTTTTTTTTTTTCCTTATACCGTTTAAATGTCCACACATTGGTACATATAGATTGTTTATTTTTATATATGTGGTTAATTAAAAAAAAAAAAAAAAGGATGTAGGCTACACGTGGGGAAGCACAAGGGAATAAAAGTTGGGTAAAAATTATAAAGCGCATTATCCTAAAAGTGTGCAGAACGAGGGATGCACAACTGTGCGTTTTGGTATATTCTCAGTTTGAGAGCGTCTGCATTGGAGCGCCGCTTCGATGGAGATTCATTGTCGTCCGCCAAGTGTGACATTCACATGGATGCACACGCCGGTGTATGGGCGATATATCGGGAAGAGTCCTTCGTTACACATACTTTCTCAAACGGGGAACCCCTGGGGTGGTCTACTCCTTTTTCCTTTCCTACCACTCATCCGCTGCGATAGGGTTCTTCCATTCCTCGTTTGCATTGTCATTCCATTCTTCCTTCTTGTTCCAACCCTCATATGGAGCTTCAGTGGCAAACTGATTCTCAGCCAAGTGAGGAGCCGCGGGGGCTGTTTCCTCGATTGCTAAATTTTTCAGTTCAAACTGTTCTGGGTCTCTCCACAAAAACATATCTACCATGACCTTCCAAGGCTTCGATCTAGGTAACGTTCCCTTGAGGTATAAAACTTCCTGAGCCAGCAGCCAGTACATAAGTGCAATGGATTCCTTCCCTTTATTGTTACAAGGGATGGCAATGTCTACATGCTCTAGGGGAGAATCCGAGTCACAAAGAGCAATGACGGGGATGTTGGCATAGGCTGATTCTTTAACCGGTTGTGCATCTGTCCTTGGATCTGTTACTATTAACAGTCTGGGTTCAGTAAATTTCTGGATAATCTGATTAGTCAGCATACCAGGGGTCCATCTTCCCGCGATTGCTTGTGCTCCTGTGTATTGGGCGAACTTCAAAACGGCTCTGCTTCCAAATGGTCTAGCTGACACTACCACTACGTCTGCTGGGTTGTTAATCGCTACTATGATTCTGGCGGCTAGCTGGAGCTTCTCATACGTCTTGGCCAAGTTTAGGATATGCACGCCGTCCTTCGCCCTGGTGTAGACGTACCTCTTCATTTTGTTTTCCAGATTCTTCGTTCCGATGTGGACCTGACGGGGTTGCGGCGGGGGGGGGACACATATGAAGGATTCTTTGGGAAGCGGCTACGTCGGAGGCGACTACGTTGGAGGCGACTACGTTGGAGGCGACTACGTCTGAAGCGTCTATGTTAGGCGATACTATCCTGTGGGGGGGCATATACATTTGCAGAGCCACCCCCCGGAGGACTCCCCAGTGCAGCTGATCATCCAGTGCTTACTTTACAGATGAGCATCTTCGCGATGCTTTCCTCCTTGGGGGATTGCACTTTCTTACTCGACATTTTTCCTTCTTTTTTTTTCCAAAGTTATACCAGATAATGGGAACGTGTGATAATATCTTGGCCTGGTACACTATACGTTGTTTAAATTGTTCACTTTTGCTATGCGTGACAAAATGGGCTATGTTCGCCTTTCGTGTTTTTTTTTTTTTTTTTTTTTTCACTATAATGAGAGCGGTAGAAAGTTCTTTTCTATAAGGACGTTTATTCGATACTTCTGATTGGTATGCTTGTTTTTTTGCGTAAATTTTGAGAGTTTTAAATTTTTTTTTTTCTTTTCTGCAAAAATGGGTATTTGCAATTTCGGCATGGAAAAAGCCTCGTTTCAGCTTTGCGTGGAAGAGCAGTGAAAAACTCCGTTTTGCGTTCCTTCACTCTTATTCGCGAGAGGGACGACTTAAATGGGAAGTGGATGTCACAGTTCGGTTTTCAACGCCAGTTGCCAGTTTATGCTTTAGCCCTCACGGGGTCACAAAGCGATAGTGCGCATATGATGCGTTGAGGTATATATCATACATATATGCACAATGTATGTAGCACATATACATATCTGCACTGTTGGGGGGAAAAAAAACACCATCGGGGACGGTCAAGGTTCCGAGGGGAGAGCGTTCTTTTCACCGTTGCTGGTCGGCCAACAAAAATGAGAAGAGAGGAAGCTGCAATGTATGCTCTCCTCACATCTCAAGTAAAAAAAGAATAGACCAAAAAAAAGGGGGCCACCGTCACCGTTACAGCGATAATATGGCAACGGTACGCTGTTGTGTATAACTTTTGCATTCCTTAGCAGATGACCCTCCCCATCCACTCTATTGGAAAGAGGGTAACTTCACAAGCGCGTGGTGCGTTAGGTAGGGGGGCGCCTTTTTTAAAATGGGGCTGCCCCCATAGTGGCTCATTTTACCGCTATTTTTTTTATGTACGCCTTATAATACAGTACAGGAGAATAATGCAGGACAGTTTACTCCCGAATCGCGCGTTTTTTCTTTTTTTTTTACAGCCTCGATATAAAAACACCCCTCTGCTTTTAGCCTCTGGTTAATGTGTTTTGTTAAATATATCCCTCCATGCATAGAACGACAAATTCACAAAAAAATGACACCGTTGATGTAGGCCAAAATTATGCATATGGTTAATTGTATTTTCTCTTTGTTTTTTCTTTTTCTTTGTTTTGGTTGAATGTGTTTGAAACATTTCCCTGTAGGTCATATTTTTTTTTTTTTTTTTTTTTTTTCCTGCGCGGGGGAATTGAGGGGTGCGGCCTAGCCGCGTTGTATGGTTCCTGGCGTGTGATTCCTGCGCCATTTTTTTGGCCTCCCCAGGTTTTCCTCATCGTTCTGCGCAGGGCAGTGTCTTGCGTAAATATCCTTCTCTTCCATTCCATTGGTCCAGTTGCTCCCGTTTCGTTTCCTCTTCCTCTCACTGCCGCGTTGAGGAACATACGTGCTGCGTGTTGTCCCCATAAGAAAATCCTTTCGCTCTGTTCTGCCGCTATTATTTTTGGACTCCTCCCGGAACAGGCACATATACAGGGTGACCTTTCCGCAGGTGAATATATGCTTTCCCCTCCACCTGCTTCCCTATTCGCCTCTACCGGTTTGTACAGCCAGTTAAGTATTCCTCCGTTGCTTCTCTCCCCATGACAACGTGTAAAAATGCAGTTTCCTCCCACCGTAAGTGCATTAAATGGCATTTTAAAAAAATTCCCCTACAAAGGGGTACATCTTCAAGAAACAAGCGACGGACAGGTGGGACAGGTCCCCTTTTGTGTATGACCCAAAATGGGAAAAAGAAGGAAAAAAAAAAAAAAAAAATTCACCGCCACAAAATTCATGTTTACCATTTGGAAGGTTTAAGAAATACCAAAGTAGGTGTTGGGAAGGTTGCAAAAGGGTACTGTTGTCTGAGGAAATCCCGTTTGGGATGATCCTACATGCGAGGTGGTTCATTTCATAGGTAAGAGGATTGTTAATACAACGAAGGGCTTCTTCCCCACCGGGCGGGGTAAGCAGTTCGGCATTCACAACATTTATGGACTCCCCCCCGGCGGCTGTGGACCAGTAGCTCATCGCAGTGGTAGCGAAATACGCGCGAAAGAAAATTGTCCCCAAAATGCTCCCTTATATGTTTCCACCCCAGTTGCGCAGATGACGTTTACCATTTTTTTTTCACATTTACTTGTCGCAAAATTGAAGAGGCGGGGCGCTTTTCCCACAGAAGGAAAAATTGCACATTTGCCTCACTGCGCCACTTCCACAAGTGGGGGAATAAATATGATGAACAAAAATATGGAAATTGTAACAAGCCAACAGATGGGGTAAAAATGGAAAAGCTTGGGTTCCCCGTGATGTCACAAACAGTGCGCATAGGTACGTATACATGTGTGTACACATGCACATACATTTTTACGGCGTTGAGGTAGCAAAGTCTCCCATCGTGTGACACCCACGGGTGCGTAGCGCAGTGTGTCCGGTTTGTTCAAATGGGTTGGCCTGTTGGCTGCTTCGCTGCCTGCTTCCCTCCGCAGTAAAAAATAAAACGACGAGTTGGGCCTCATCTGCGAGTGCGGGACGGATATGATGCTCCCCTTTATTGTATAAACGAAGCCATGGAAAGGTCCCACTGTGGAAAAAAAAAAAAAAAACTGTTCCACAAGCAGATGTTCAGCACGTACATGTGCAGACAGGCCGGGGGCATATTTATGTGCCGCTTTAACCTGCCTCTTTTGCATTTTTCTTTTTTATTTTATTTTTTTTTTCATTTTGAGTCTCGCTTCAATTATTTTTCCCACGAGTTATCCAATTCGTCCTCTGTTCAAAAAAATACTCACTTCAAAAGTTCGGCGAACGTTTCATGAACCCTACATTTGCGTAAACGCATTTTGCGTCCTCACATATGAACACCAGTGCGCCCCCATCTTCGCACGATTTTCAAACCTTTTAGGATGTCTAACCACGTGGCACGGCAAAAACAGATGGAGTACATTTACTCGCGAAGTTTCCTTAGAAAGGTAGCAACTCGAGTTTTAAGGGAAGGGGAAAACTCCCATCCCTGGATTCGTTTCCGCCATGCAGCGCTAACAAGAATTCCTCCCTTTTGTATGAACCAGTCATATATTTTTTTTTCTACCTTGCACAGCCGCATCGTTCAGACCGCGCTCAAATGGGGGTAAATAGCTATTTTTTTTTTTTTTTTTTTTTTAATTAGCCTGACTTGGTCATAATTTTTTCCTAAATGTAACCTGTGTGCGTTTTTACTCTTTTTCTGCCCTCCCTTTGAGGAACTACCAAATTGCAACGCTTTCGATCTGTTGTAAAGGAGGTTTCCGTTCTACATTGGCGTTTGCATCTGCTTCTGTTCTGCATCCAGTTTATCTTCTTAATTCCTTCCCTTTGGCATTATATGACCTGCCATTGGCCTGTTTCTTTCTGCTCGGATGTCCACCTCCCTGCTTTGCTGCTTTACATAACGGGTGCGTTTTTTTTTCTCTCAAAAAGGGGGAAGAAAATACTACGCGGTTTAGGAGCCTTTTCGCGCAGTGCGCAAATGGCGCATATTTATGTGACACAATTTTTACGCGCATTCTTGGGTACTCCCTCCCCTTAGTGTATGATTAATTTTGTTCGTTCTTTTTTGTTCTGTTCTGTTTCGTTCCATTTAGTGCTTCTTCTTTTTTTCCCGCTTTTCTGCCTCCGCACTTATTGAACATACTGCGCGTATTTTTTTCCTGCCACGCTGAGTGCATCCCGGGCGGCTCTCAGTTCGGTGCTTGCGCGAGGATTTCGCACTTGACGTTTGAAGCGGTTTCTCAGGGGGGAAACGCAAAGTGGTCAAGTGGCAAAAATGTGAAAACATGAAAATCGTTAAATAGTAAAATGTTAAGAAGCAAACTCGAAAATGTTTGCCCCTTTCTAACATTCCCGCTCTCCCCACACTTCACCCAACAGTGCCTAGCATATTTATCCCGGCACAAGTCAGAGGAGGAGCCGCCTAAACTTACGCGACCGCTGCACAAGTACGAGCCGAAAAATAAAAGGAGCCAACTGCGGATCAGCCATTTAGCGCCGATTCTTACCACCTGGGTCTCTCCAAAGGAGCCATGTGCACTAATTATTTTTGTGAACAGGCACTAACGACATCATTTTTTTTTTTTTTTTTTTCTTTACCTCAGAAAAAGAAGGCCGCCATTTCGCTCAGGAGTGAAAAAAAAAAAAAGAAAATTTTATTCTAACTATTGAGGTCACCTAGTGAAGAACAAATCTGCATTTGATTCCAAGTGCGAAAGGTTAAGCAAAGAAAAAAAAAACAAAAAAAACAAAAAAAAACAAAAAACAAAAAAAAAACTCCACACAAAACAACGCATTATCTGTTCTGCGCAAAGAATGACATTGTTCAGAAGCGCAGAACAGTTTTTTCCTCAAACGACGACGCAGAGGAGTGATCTCTCTTCTTCGAGTTATGTATCGAATGGACAACGGTTGTGTGTGCGCTGTGTATGCGAAACGGTAGGAGTGGCAATCCAAGTGAAAACCCACCTCTCCTGAATTATACTCTCTCCTCGCTACCCTGTCACAATCATGAAATCGCTAAAAATTAAGGGGCTGATGAAGGGGAAAAACGAGGAATACTACAACCTTGTCTCAGTTATAAGCCTCAACGATGAGGACCTAGACGAGCAGATTATTCAAACGGAGGAAAATGTGAAGGCTAATTGGGCAGCCATAAAAAGTGCCAAGGAAATCAGCAAAAGTGAGAAAAAACTCTTTGGTGCAATCATGAGAAATGAAAGAGTCCGCTTAAGGATAAGGGGAAATATAAAAAAGGTACCACGCAGAAGGAGGGAAGATCTCAAGGGGTATTACCGGGAGGAAGCACTTAATGGTTTCTTGGGTGGAGACGTAAGTAGTGACAAGGAATGTATGAACGGAATTTTGAATTACCTGCAGAATGTCCAGGGGGTAAAATTTCACGGAAATGCCATTAGGAAGGGGAGAAGCAGGCGGGGAGACAGCATAGAGGAGGCCTCCTTCGAACGATTGAATGACCGAAGTGATGTTGGCAGGCGGGAAAGCTTACGGAGGTTCCACCTTGTATGGCACTGGGGGAAGCAAAGAAAGGGAGAGGCAAAAAGGGCAGAAGAAAGAAGGGAACAAGTAAGAAAAGAAAGGGAAGAGGCAAAAAGGGCAGAAGAAAGAAGGGAACAAGTAAGAAAAGAAAGGGAAGAGGCAAGAAGCGAAGAGGCAAAAAGGGCAGAAGCAAGAAGGGAACAAGTAAGAAAAGAAAGGGAAGAGGCAAGAAGGGAAGAGGCAAGAAGGGAAGAGGCAAAAAGGGCAGAAACAAGAAGGGAAGAGGCAAGAAGGGAAGAGGCAAGAAGGGAAGAGGCAAAAAGAGAAGAAGCAAAAAGGAGAGAAGCAAAATGGGAGGCACACCAAATGAACCGAATCCCTCGCGTGAAAGACAGCAGGGTAGGGCTGACCCCAATCCTTAGGGTCAAAAATAAAGTCATTCAAAAAAAAAGGGGGAAGAAAAAAAGCATAAGAGCTAGCCAAAACGTTGCCACCGAACCGCTAACCATTAACGATGTGGTGGAAAAGACACTAAGAAGGACTTTTCGCGAATTTAACATGTGGATAAAGGAGTTGCAGAAGACGAAGGTGACTATCCAATCACGACAGAGAAGAGAAGTTCATTATAGGACCAAGCGAGAAGAAAGACGCAGCCCTATGTATCATTTGAAACAGGGCAGCTGTGTGAGTCGAAAAAGGAACAAGTGCCCCATGAGGAGGATCCCAAACTATCAGCAGCATAAATTGTACTTTAACGGACTCTTCCAACACATAAGAGGAAGGAAGAAGGTATCACTAGCAATGGCTTCTCCATCCAAAGGGAGAAGAATCCCAACTGAGGAGATGGCTTCCATCAGAGCGGCTACAAATGCAGAGGAAGAGGAGGAGAAGTTCGTAAAGAAAAAACTTCTACTGAAGGAAAGGATTAAGGACGAGTATCGGAGGAAGAGGGAGGGGTCCAGTTTTTACAACAACAACGATGGGTTCTTTCCACCTCATGCGGAAGCTTCCTCCAACCCGAGATGCAGCACTAACTACATGTGCGACGAGACAGCCCTCAGCGAAGGAGATCTCGACGATTTGGAGTACTTCGTTAGCGTGAAGGGGAAGAACGCGAGGAGGTACGAGGGTTACCTTGCGCAGGGGGAGAAGCCAGAAGGCAAAGAAGCAGGGGCGAAGCCAGTTGTTCCACGCCCTGTGGATTTTTCAGCTCTGCTAGGAAAGCGACCTGGCGACAGTCCATTCGGAGGAAACTCCCCGCCCGGAAAAAGTGCAAACAAAGAAATGGCCCAAATGAAAGAGAAATTGAATCATCCAAAGGAAGACAAAACGGAATCGTGGATGAAGGGAACAATTGGAATGACAACACGTGTAGGTGCCTCAGTGGACCATCCCAGGAAATATAATGCCACAAAAGGTAATGCCACTGATCGGGGAAGGCGCTCTGATAGGAATAATCCACCGGAACGTTGCGATAACCAGTTGGGTAAAAATGCAGAGAAGGGGCCCCCCCCGGTAGAGAGCAAGAAAAAGCTTACCGGGATCATGAAGTCCAACACGATGATATTGAAGCAGCATCAGGGTAAGAAGGAAGGCCTAGTGGACAAAGGAAAGGCCATCTTAGGGACAAACAAAGTGATGGATAATGCTCCTAAGGAGGTGAAAGCTACACCGAATAGTCCTAAAATTGGGGAGAATGGAACGGATAAGAAGAACCCCGCAGTGGCAGGAGATGAGAAGAGAAAGTCTGCAATATTGGGAAAAAACTCCACAAAGGTATCACCTCCTGTGGGGGTGAAGACAGCACAGGAAACGCCAAAGGAGAGTGCTTCCATGAGAGACGCTTTAAAAGGGAAGAGGATTTCCCCTCCACTGAAGGGCTCGACACCCGAGGGGCTTAATAACTCTCCCCGTGGTTTGGTCAATCAAGACGGGGAACCCAAGAATGCGGGTAAGTGCAGCTCACCCGCGATGGACACCTCGGGGGTGAGCGAACAGAGGGGGGGAGCGGCCGTTGGAGGAGTCGCGGCTGCAGACGCGGATAAACTGACTGCTATCGAAAAGGATACCACGCACAGTGGTGGGAAGCCGAAAGTTGGGCGGGTTGACCTAAAGGGGGGTCTGCCATTGGTTAAGGGCATCGAGGCGTCCTCAAAGGGGGTAGACGCCGCCAACCAGATAAACGACGCGAAGAAAGAAAGCAGGCCCAGCGACGGAAGCGACAGCCGCTACAGCAGCGACGGGGCTCCCTCGAAGCAATACCCAAAAGGATTGAGCAAACGGCCAAGCATTAAAACGGGTGTCAGTAAACCAGATGGGAATGAAGCCGGGATGAATCCCACCTCGGGGGGGGAAGATAAAGAGAAGGTACAAAATGACACCAAGGGAGAGCCGAAAAAGGAGCTCTCACAAGAAGGGGGAAACAAACTAGACACAGAGATGGAGAAAGGTCACTCCGTTTCTTCCACCAGTGAGGTGAAGAATGGAGAAGGTAACAAAATGGTGGCCAGCGCGAAGATCCCGTTGAAGCTCAACAACATGGCGATGAAGAAGGCCCTTCTCGGGAAGATGCTGGCGAAGCGGGGGGAAGAAGCGAAAAAGGGGGAAGACAAGAAAGGAGAGGCGCCAGAGAAGGGAAAAGACAGCAAAGAAGGAGAGGCGAAAGACAACAAAGGAGAGGCCAGCGAAAAGAACAAAGCGATGGAGAAGATGATTCCAAAGATGATCCCGAAGATGCTGCCGAAGAGTATTCCAGAGAGCAAAGTTGGCATTTCGAAGATGATTCCCTCGAAAGGAGTCCCCTCAAAGGATAATTCTATTTTGAAGGCAAAGGCATGGCAGGTTCCGGGTGAGAAGGAGAGCGGGAAGGAGAGCGGGAAGGAGAGCGGGAAGGAGAGCGGGAAGGAGAGCGGGAAGGAGAGCGGGAAGGAGAGCGGGAAGGGGAGCGGCGAAAGGTTGTCTCTGAAGAACAGCCTGTCCATCAAGGGGGACGCGGAAAAAGAAGACATGGCAAAAGAAGACGTGGCAGAAGGGAACGCCGCAGAAGGGACCACAACGAAGGTGCCACCACAAGTAAGCACACCCACCGTGAAATCTGTGCGAGACTTAAAGTGCACAAAATCGGACGAAGGGGTACCCAAAGGAGATAACAACTTAAGCAAGAGGGGGTTCATGGAAAATGCAGTGAGGAAAAACATAGAGAGGATGTTGGACAGAGCGGAGAATTGTATAGTGCCTGTTGGGGGTGAGAAGAATGGCAAGAGATTTAGCTTGGAAAAAATTGCGCTGAAGGAGCGTCCTAAAGGATTGGAAGTAAAGAAGGACAGAAAGGTGAAGGGGGGGAAGGGAACTGTCCTCCCCCTAAGGGAAGTTGGAAGTTCTGCTGCAAATGATGCTGCAAATGATGCTGCAAATGATGCTGGAGTTGCTACTGGGAGCGATGCCGGAAGCGACGTGCCCCCTACCAAGGAGCGAAAAAGATACTCAGTGACGCTGAACAAGTTTTCAAACAAGATAGAGGTAAAGAAGAAAAGTTCGGTCGATGTGGTTGAATTGTTCAGTGCGGTAGATAAGAAATCGGGAGAGGAGGAGGATGGCTGCGTTCGGAGTGGTAACAAAAGTGAAGACATCGTTGAAGAGGAGGGTTCCACGGGGGGAGTTCAAAACGCGCTTCCAAACGGATCACCATGTAGAAGCGATGTAGAGAATGTGACTCCCCTAAGTGTCAACACCGCCGATGAGGAACCAAAGAAGGCGCCGATGATAACACCTCTTGTTAAGAAGGACGTGCTGCCTAAATTAATATCCAAACTGGCACTAGATAATAAGGAGGCAGCACCGTCGGGGGAGAAGAATGGAGATTTTGCGAGGGGGCGTGAAGGAGGAGAGACGAAGCCCCCGAAGGGGGATGAAGAGGACCCCGGCGAGGAAGGCAAGGACAAGCACGACGGAGAACAGAAGAAGGAAAACCGAGTTGAAAAAAAAGGGGAAGTATCACACAGTGAAGAAACACACGGTGAGGCAGCTCACAGGGGGGAAAAACTAGAAGACGACGACCCACCTGTGCCCAAAACGAACGTCGTGAAACCCCCCCTCTCACCACCCAAAATGAAAAATGCGGCACCTGGACAAGTGAAAGGCGCTCCAAATGAAAGCAACTTTATGTCCAAACTGCAGATCGTGAAGAATAAATCTATGCAGAAGCAGTTTCCCCTAAAAAAGGTCGCGATGCTCAAGGGGAGTGGCGAGGAGAGTACTCCTAATGGGAATGGCAACATCGGGGAGAAAGGCGGCCCCTGTGGAAGCAGCCTCTGTGAAGGAAGAAACACCGGGGAGGAAACCCCAGTGAAGGACCAAAACCCGCAAGTCAAGGCAGTGGATAATGACACCTCCCCGAAGGATACCATCACGAAGCAGGTAGACCTTCTCCCTCCCACAAGTGAAAAAAACGAAAATGAAGCAAAAGACAATTCCCATGGCAGTAGTAGTGGACCGGATCCCGTGGCCCACACAAAGAAATGTCCAGTGAAAAAAGTACCACCCAAATCGATAGTCAAAATTATGCCGAAAATCCCCCCCAAAGTTGTAGCCACTCCACTTAATGAAGTTAATGACTCAAAAAAAAATGTGACCAAGGAGAAGCCGCCCTCTTTAAACAATCTCAAAGCAAAGGCATTTCCGCCACGAAGTGTGAAGGAAGAAGACACAGAATAGGGATTAAGCCAAGAGAAAAGACACCTCTCCCATGACACTTTCCATACGAAGATCACTTATGGAATGGCACACTTGCGAATGGGGAAATAAATCCATTCTTGTTTTGTCTGTAAAGGAAAAGTTCTAAAAGGCATGGTCGCTTAGTACACATATGTGCATATATGTACCGTACGGGGGGTGAGAGGGAGGAAAGGAGACAGATGGCCCGACCTCCCCCTTGAAATTCCCCTTCGTCGTGGTCATCCAATCACTCTGCACGTGGAGGAGTTGGCAATGGCCACCACCACCCCGTTACACCATGATGATTCTTTTTTTGTGTTTTTATTTTATTTCCTTTTTTTTTTGCTTTAAAATTTTGACTCCACAGGGCCCCGCCGTGTTGGGCATAAACAACGGACCAACACCGGGTGCATCCGCTAATTCGTCCATTTGTTTGTTCCTCCATTTGTTTGTTCCTCCATTTGTTTGTTCCTCAATTTGTTTGTTCCTCAATTTGTTTGTTCCTCCATTTGCTCGTTCGCCCCATTATGCAACTGCTCACCCATTCATTTATCCACTCCGTGTATGTGTTTTTGTGCCCTATTTGGTGACGCCCCGACCGCCGACATTCTCAACACGTCTCACGCGCGCTGCGCAAACAGGACTCATTGCGAATTATCCGTTTTGTTCCTCGTCCATCAGAGTTGACTTCATTTTTTTCTTTTCTTTTTCTTCTCCACCACTGGTTGAAGAAAAGGAGCAAGGCAGCCGTGCCAGTGTTGAGTGGAACCAAAAAAGGGGGTTCCTCTCGGTTCGAAATGTTAACAGTTTTCCTCTCCCCATGCGTGTGTTCGGAAAAGGGTGTGGGGGGGGAAGAAAACAAAAAGTGTGCCTACCTATTTGTTCTTCCCTTTCTATGGGTAAAACATCTACGCAGAGAGATGAGCAGTGCATGCATTGTGCGGGGTTATTCACTAATTAGGCGAACCTTACCGGTGTGTATGTGGGCACTCACTCGAGGCTCTGCCCCTTCGCCACCCCCCTCAGTTTGTCTCGCGTACTGCCAAAGGGTGAAAAAGCTGATGTGCATGCACGGATGGGAAAAAAAAAAAAAAAAAAGAGAGCAATTTTTTGATAATTTCTTGGTAATGTTCTGACTTGTTCAGGCAGAATAGACACTCTTTTTTTTTTTTTTTTTTTCAAATGGCTACCTGTTAACTGTTCCTACAAAGTGAAGAATCATTTTTCAGACAATTTTGATGTTATCCCACTTGCTCGTCTTGTTCTCCGTTTTTTTTTCCTCCTTTTTTTTCTTCCCTTTTTTGCGCCTTTCCCCTTTTGAGAACAATCCTGACATGTTGGCAACAGCCCAGCAGAGGAGCCCTCCACAACAGAAGCGTTAATCTCCTGGATCATATTTCTCAACGGAGACATCCGCTCCATTACGCGCAAGAGAACTCCCGCTTCGAATCGCCTTCCGATAAAATACCCCTTCCACTCATAAGCACAATGTACTACAAGGAATATTACACGTACGACGTGGTATACCCCGCGTACTATCCCGCATACGTGTTGTATGAAGTACCAAGAGAAAAGAACATCTGTTGCAGTTTAACGCAGGCACTATGCAGTTGCTTCATATTCACAGCAACGGCTGTCACGTCCATTTTTATCGTGTCAGCTGACGCGATGTTAAGGTGTTGTGAAGGCAGAGACTGAGCACGGGGTGCCAAGAGAATGGGGGCAAATCTTGGCCATTTACAGCGGACGCAACTGTGCGGTCAAATGAGAAGACAAGTTGTGGCAGCGTTGCAGAGGTGATGACGAACCTGTCGGAGGAAGATTTAGTAAAACTCGGATTTGCTAATATTTAAAAAATGAAGAAGAAAAAAAAAAAATTCTTTAACTTTTTTGAATAGCCTGTATTTCCATCCGTTCATTCCATATGTACCTCCGTGATGAGGATGCCATTTTTTTTTCTTGCCTTTTTTTTTTCTTTTTTCTGTACACACAATTTAATAACTGAGGTGAGATTCACCTCCGCTTCGCCGTTAAAATGAAAAAAAAAAAAAAATAGCATAGAATAGAAAATGTAGTGGGTGTGGTACCCCGGGAAACGTGTCTCGCTTTTTTTACGCCTGCTCAAGGGCCGTTTTCGATGGACTTCCGAACATGCACACGTGTGGCTCTTCCCGATCAGTTAGTACGCAATGGAGCAAATGTGTAACAACCCTTAGAGACACGAGGAACGGGGAAGCATCTACCACCATCGGGCGTGGCAGGGAAAATGCTGCCGCAGTTGTGATTTGCTTATCTAAAGGGTGCAAAAAAGGAAGAAAAAA